ACAGCCCTGTCTCATACCTCGATTGTTGCTTTTGAGACCTTAGCAGAGGACCCCACTAAACTGTGCATGGACTCCTGACCCACAAAAACTATGAGATAATAAACAGGTGTTCTTTTAAGCTGCTAAGATGTGGTAATTCTTTACACAATGATAGAAAATGAATGCTTTCTATTCTTTATTTTTGGAGAGCCTTTTTTCATCTAGAATGAATGAAAATGTTCAAATCTTTTTCTGTTTCTTTTGAGATTATCATATATCATTTTTAATTTGGTAAGATAGAGAATTACATTGATTTTCAAGTGGTAAACAAACATCCTTTTCCTGGGCGAAACCTCATTTGCTCATGATACATTATTTTCATAGACGGGTTCAGTTTGCTAAAATTTTGCTTACAATTGTGGTATCTATGTTCATGAGGGCTATCAGTCTATAGTTACTTTTTTCTTGCAATGATTTCTATCTACTTTTGCTATTGAAGAAATGCTGGCCTCATAGAATGAGTGATGAAGTTGTTGCAACCTTCTGATTTTCAGAAAGAATGTGGGAAGGATTGTTATTATCTCTTCCTTAAATATTTGGTAGATTTCATAAGTGATGCTGTCTGGGCCTGGAGATTTTTTTTGCTGGGCTCTCTATTCTGCAGACTGTCTCTTTCTTCGTGGACTCTCTTGTCTGTTCCATTGGTCTATATGTCTACCTTCACATCAGTACCACATTATCCTCATAAACTTCTTTATAATAAAAATAAAGGCTTAACTACAATTTCAATTTATTTTATATGTATAGTTTTGTTTTGTTTTGTTTTGTTGTGAAATAGAGTTTCGCTCTTGTCACTTGGGCTGGAGTGCAATGGCGTGATCTTGGCTCACCACAACCTTCGCCTCCTGGGTTCAAGCGATTCTCCTGCCTCAGCCTCCTGAGTAGCGGAGATTACAGGTGCCCACCACCACACCAGCTAATTCTTGTATTTTTAGTAGAGACAGGGTTTCGTCACGTTGGCCAGGCTGGTCTCAAACTCCTGACTTCAGGTGATCCTGAAGTCAGTTTGCCTCGACCTCCCAAAGTGCTGGGATTACAAGCATGAGCCACAACCCCAGTTGTTCGACTTATGTATTTCTTGAGTGACATTGGTGGTTCAAAGAAATTGTCCATTTCATTTCTGCTTTGAATATATTGGTGCTAAAGTGTTTTAATATCCCCTTATATTCCTAATAATTGTAGAAGATGTAGTGAGGTCATTGATCTCTTCCTAATAGTGATATTTTGCATTCTCTCTCTTTTTTCTCTTTTCTTCAGTCTGACCAGTGGTTTATAAATTTTATTTACCTTCTCAAAGAATTGGCTTCAGGTTGTATTGATTTTCTGCTTTTTTTCATTATTATTCATTCTCTTCTTTCTACTTCAGATTTAATTTACTCTTGTTTTTCTAGTCTTGAGATGGAAGCAGAGGCTGTTAACCTGAGGCCTTTCTTCCTTTTTAGTGGGCATTTTACACTGTAATTTGCCTCCCAAGGAGTGCTTTAGGAACACCATGCAAACTGTATTTTACTGCCTTTTTGTTTTCATTCAATTCAAAATTCTTTCTAATTTCTCCTTTGGCCTCTTCTGTTTCCCATATCTTATTTAGAAGAATGTTATTTAGCATCCAAATATTTGGGAGGATTTTCTAGACACACTTCTTGATTTCTAATTAATTCCATTGTTGTCGGAGAACATACTTTGCATGGCTTGAATCTGTAGAAAGTTGTTATTTCAGTGGCCGCGTTAGAATTTGTAGTAAATCTCTTTCTATTATCACAGTTTACCTTCCAGAAACATGAAACCACTGCGGTCTGCTACAAGAGTCTCATGGCCGCGTTCTCCGTTTCTCTCCTCCTGGCCTTTGTGAGAAGGTAGACACGTTAGAGACCTCACAGACGGGATCCATGCCTGTCTGGTCTGTCTCCTGTGCACAGCATCACCTGCCCTACAACAGCTGGCAACCTGAGGGTGGAGACCTGGGCTCCGGCACAGAGGTAGCTTGTGTGGGAGGGAAACTTCTGGAAGGGGGATGTGATGGTTACTACTGAGTGTCAACTTGATTGAAAGATGCAAAGTACTGATCCTGGGTGTTTCTGAGAGGATGTTGCCAAAGGAGATGAGCATTTGAGTCAGTGGACTGGGGAAGGCAGATCCACCCTTAGTCTGGTGGGCACCATCTCATCAGCTGCCAGTAATAAAAAGCAGGCAGAAAACTATGAAAAAGTGAGATGGGCCTAGCTTCTCAGCCTACATCTTTCTTCCATGCTGGATGCTTCCTGCCCTGGAACATCAGACTCCGAGTTCTTCAGTTTTGAGGCTCAGATTGGCTTTCCTTGCTCCTCAGCTTGCAGACAGCCTATTGTGATCCTGTAATTTAATACTTAATAGACTTCCCTTTATATATATATCTATCCTATTAGTTCCGTCCCGCTAAAAGAATCCTGATTAATACAGGGGGGTAGAAAAGGCCCTGGGGTGGGACCTGAGGAGCTCGGGCTGGATGCCGGCTCAGCCATGGACTGGCCACGTGCCTTGTGGGACCTTCCGCCTTTCTCTGGGCCTCAGCCTCCTCGCCCATAACGAGTGACATGACCTCCTCACCCATAACGAGTGAGCACCCCCCACCAACATTTATACTGGTGCCTGTGAGGGCTTTGGTTTTTGTGTGTTATCATTTGTGGGCAATTTTGAGTACACCAAAGACTTTTCAGGTCTTCCTTTGTTTTCTAAAACAAATTCAAATTTAATTATTTCCGTTTATTAAAAATCATACTCTAGGGCTGGGCACGGTGGCTCACACCTGTAATCCCAACACTTAGGGAGGCCAGGGTGGGTGGATCACCTGAGGTCGGGAGTTCAAGACCAGCCTGACCAACATGGAGAAACCCCGTCTCTATTAAAAATACAAAAAGTAGCCAGGCATGGTGGTGCATGCCTGTAATCCCAGCTACTCAGGAGGCTGAGGCAGGAGAATCGCTTGAACCTGGGAGGTAGAGGTTGTGGTGAGCTGAGATCACACCATTGCACTCCAGCCTGGGCAACAAGAGCGAAACTCCATCTCAAAAAAAAAAAAAAAAAAATTGCACTTTAAAAGCTGCATTCTGCCTTCATTTTTAAAGTGTGACTTATAAATCTTATTATTCTATCTTTTAATAACCACTTATAAGGAACCTGTGAATAATTCTTGGTCCATTCCCTAACTTAGCTAACTAAACACCTTCAAACATTGTTACTGCATTTATACATTTAATATACCCACATTCATCCTTTAGTACCTTGTCTAACTTTAAAAAATCCTTCTGAATATGAACTGTTAGAAATGTAATCGTTTAAATTCACCATGTGATAAACTCAGAGTTCCAATAAGCTGATTCAATAGTTTATATGAATTCAGTAAGGTTTCTGCATAAATGCACTCTGCCAAATGAATTACTCAAGGGGCCATTTTCTGTTGAATTTACCCTGCACCCACTCCAATAGGCCAAATTCTCTTGATTATTACAAGTACTTTAAACAGCATATTTTTTAGATTTCTGAACGCTAAAATATTAATATAATGTCTTCGAGCTTTTAAAGCCTTCTAGACTTAATTATAAGTCATCCAGGCTTGAAAGATGCTTCTATTAAGAAGGACAAATAGCATGCAGTAAAGGAACTTGCCTAAGGACCTGAAATTTTGGCTACTGGGGTTTCACTGGGCAGCTCTGCGGACCTGGCTCCTCTGCAGGTGACTTCAGGACTTTGAGGAAGACGCTTCCAAGCCATCTTGCTAGGTTCCATATCTGCACCTCCACGGAGCCTGTGTCTTTCCCAGGTTCATCCCTGGACCTCATCTGTATCTGGCATAGCCTTAAGTCTTGAGAGGTCTGCCCTAAACACCGTGGAACCCGAGGTGGGGGGTCTTAACTAGTCATAATCTCAGGACCACACATCTCCATGGGCATTGAAGGAATATCCGATGGGATTTTGTTTCTTGCATGACTTTGCTGGGCTTCTACTGATCTTGCTAAGGAAGGAGGCACCCCGGCATCCCGATGGCGGCAAGTAGCAGGGTGCGGTGGTGGTAGTGGGAGGTGCAGTGCCGGTTCTGTCTCTGGGGACTTTAAGTATACGGCCTCTGGGGCCCCACCTGCTACTGTCTCTAACCTGGCTCAGTCCCAGGTGAGAGTGCACCTTCAGGCCAGCTCTTCTCCAAAAGGCGAATACAACCACTGACGTCCACAGCCATCCTACAGGTGGGATGCCTGGCCTCAGAGCTCAGGCGGTTCCCTGGGCCCTAGGAGTGAAATTCGCCTGCTCTCATCCTCCCTACAGGCTAAGCCCCTGCATTCACCCTCAAGGTCTCCCCCTCAGACGTGCACCTGGGTCATAGTCCCCCAGGCTCCCCACCCTTCTGTCCTTTCCCTGCTGTGTGTGTGCCACTGTGCTCTACGTACTGTCCCTGGAAACGATGAACACACACGCATTTTCCTCTCCTTTTCACCCTGGCAGCCTGCCTGGACCTCACAGTGGCAGTTTCCAAGCCTCCTGAGGAACGTCCCAAGTCTGCTCATGGCGTGGTGAGGGTTACTATGTAAGGCCCACACCAGAGGCCCATGACCAGCTCTGGCCACGAGGACTCTGGGTGTTCGGATAAGGGAGAGAGACCTCTTTGAAGCAGAACGTCTTTAGCAAACCTTCCTTGTTCCCCGTTCTCAGCTCATGGTGTCATCTGCTCACCGCTGAACAAAGGTGGGAGGATGGGCCTGGGCTTTGCGCAAGGCCACAAGCAAGTCAGCCTGTTCCCTGGAAAGAGACCGTCCCCCTGCAGGGACGAGAGTCGCCATGGTATCCCCAAGGGGCGGAGGGGAAGGGAGCAGCCCTGGAGATGATCTCGCACCTCCTGCTGGCGTCACCAAGCCCACGGAGAGGAAGCGGCTGTCACTCGGAAGATGAGAAATTGGAGTCTGAGGGAGGCTGGCTCCTCCAGCCCTATAAGAGCACAGGGACCTCTTGAAGCAAAGACCAGAAGAGATGGAGCTGGACAGAGCTGTGAGGGTCCTGGGCCCTGCCACCCTGCTGCTCACTTTCCTGGGCTTGGCCTGGGCTGTCCAGGCGGCAGACACCTGTCCAGGTAAGGGCACTTGTTGGAAACTTCTCATCCCTGAAAGCTGGCAGCTTCATGATTGGTGGCTTCCTGGCTTCCAGGCCTTGCACCAGGCCATGTGGTGCATCGTCCAGCAAAACAGCAGCTCTGCACACTTCATCCTATGGGAACAAATGCAGAGGCCTGAATGGATGCGGCATCTCAGAGACGGGGCTGCTTCTGCTTGCCCTCCCATAATGGAAACTGAGGCAGGTTTCCAACCTCCCTGGGCCACATGTCCCCCTCTAAGCGTAAAAAGCGCAGTCATGATGTTGTGTGGGGAGGTGGGGCTTGTGGTGCCAGCTGGACAGATACCAGTCAGATATTCTGCCATGATCACCATCACGGAGAGACAGGGTGTCAGGCGGGGATGAGCAACCAGCACTGTGGGACCTTTCCGTCCAGCTGGGCTCTGGAGATGACATTTCCCATGGTGTCCCTGATGTGGTACAATAAAGGTGGCATTGTCCCCATGAGTTCTGGACCTCCTTCGGGGCTCCCAAGAGGACACTCCGGTGCCAAACCATGGGCTTCAATGCATGGGAGGGCAGGTTGAAAATGCAGGTCCTGGAGTCAGGTCCTGACTTCATCCACTTGAGGCTGGGATGGAGGGTCAGGAATTGTGACGCTCCCGATGCTTGCAGAGATCCGTGTCGGGATTTCTGGAATGCATGTGAGACACAGAGATCTGGGGTGTGCTGTGGCTGGCATCACATTCAAGAAGCCATCGGTGGAGTGAAGTGTGACACAGGCCAGCAACAGCAGAGATTCGCTTGGAAACTCCTGGTGGCTCGTTGTGGAGTGGTGGGGTTAGGGTGGCCTTATTTTCTTCTTAAACACTTCTAGAGTTTCTAAACGATCAAATAATAGCCCGTGTTATTTTCATAACACACTAACTTGAATTTGAGTTATCTAAAAACAACAAAGCTGCATTCCAGTTCTAGTTTTGCACCAACTTGTTCTGTGTCCTTGAAGGACACCTCCCTCTGTGGAGGAACGAGGTGGACCCACAGGAGCCCATCCATTCTCAGATCTGTTCCAAAATCAGGCGTGGGAGTCGCGATGGTAGCCCTCGCTCCCTGACCTTCTCACCTGATATTGATTACAGAATAGACGAGATTAGGATGCTATCCTAAATGGTAGGAGCTGAAATGAACCTGCACCCCTAGGTAGATAAGGAAACAGAGGCTCAGAGGGGTTAAGGGACTTGTTTCAGGACACACAGTACTGAGGAAGTTAGGCTTGCCTTCGGGCAGGGTAGCCTCCAAGGCCGGGGTTCTGCCCCAAATCACCTTCCTGCCTGACCAGTGCCCGAGAGGTGAGGACAGACCAAGTGGCCACCAGAGCAGGAAAACCTCCTTTCCAGGTGACCCTCCAGGTGAGGGAGGTGGCTGTGGCTATAGCCATCTGCCCAGTCCTGATGTCACCAAGGTGGCAGGTGCCTTTCAGTTGAGTGGTGTGTCTGTGGCTCAGTGGAGTCTTCAGGCCCAGGTGACACTAAGTGACCACCTTTGTTTTTTGCAGAGGTGAAGGTGGTGGGCCTGGAGGGCTCTGACAAGCTCACCATTCTCCGAGGCTGCCCGGGGCTGCCCGGGGCCCCTGGGCCCAAGGGAGAGGCAGGCATCAATGGAAAGAGAGGTACGTGCGGGCCGAATCAGGAGGCCAGGCATGGCGGGGGGCACTGGCTCTCGCTCTTTTTGAAATTAGATGCTGAGTTGGGCAACACCCTCCCCCGTGGTTCCTGGATCGAGAGCCTGGGTCCAGTCCCTGCTACAGCCAGGAGCAGAGCTGACTTCTAGGGCCCAACAAGGTTCTGAAATGGAGGGAGTGTCTTTCTTAACTATTTCATGAGCTCACATTTGGACATGCTTTTGTAGCTCTGTCTCCTAGTCCTTGATCCAATTCCAGCTTTGCTAGGCCACCGGCACGACTTCTAAGGTCTATTTCCCTCCACCTTCCCACCTCAACACGGAGGCCACGACACTCTTCTCCACCTGTCTCAGATGAGGAAACTGGGGCTCAAAGAGTCCAGGGATTTCCCTCTGTTCTCACACTTGGAAAGAAAAGAGCCGGGATTCCACCCATGGTTTCTGGATTTCCAGCTCCTGGCCCCTGAGTGAACAGGAGAGCCCTGTGAGGCCTGGGTCCTGGGTCTAGAACCTTCTGGTGCAGGATGGGCAAGCCCGGGCGGGGCCACAGTCACATTGTAGCACGAGCAGGGTCATGGTCATGATTGGAAATGACAGCCGCCAGCTCCAGGGTGGGCCCTTTGATCCTGGGCTGGGGAGTTTTGCTCAAGGCAGTGTCTTTGGAAATTGCAGGAGAACGCGGCCCCCCTGGACCTCCTGGAAAGGCAGGACCACCTGGGTCCAACGGTAAGGAGGGGACAAGAGTGAGGGGGGGCTTTGAGGCCCTTCCAGACTCAGCTGCAGAGGAACGTGGGCGGGTCTTCCGGGGCTGCCACGCTGTCCTCCACGGGAGCCAACACCTGCCCAGACAGGGCTCCTGGGGCTCAGTCCAGGGCAGGGGTCTCAGTGTGGGAGCTGGTTCTCAATGTGTGTGGGGGGGTCTCAGTTTGGGGGAGTGGGGTCTCAGTGTGGGAGCTGGTTCTCAATGTGTGTGGGGGGGTCTCAGTTTGGGGGGGGTGGGTCCTCAGGTTGGGGAGCGGGTTCTCAATGTATGTGGGGGGTCTCAGTTTGGGGGAGTGGGGTCCTCATTGTGGGAGCTGGATTCTCAGTGTCGGAAGAGGGGTTCTTGGTGGTGTAGGGAGAGGTTCTTGGGGTGTGTGTTGGGGGAGGGGTTCCCAGTGGGCAGGTTGTGGGGAGGTGTTATCGGCATGGAGGGAGGAGCTGTCAGTATGGGGGAGAGATTCTGGGATGGGGGGGAGGTTCTGATTATTGGGGGAGGGACTTGCAGTGTGGGGAGGGGTTCTTAGTGGGGGGCTGTCTGTATGGGGGAAGAGGTTCTCAGGTAGGGGAAGGTTTTCAATGCAGGAGCATCTGCCCTGAGGGTGGGTCTGAGGCCAAATCCTGTTCCTCGAAAGTGGAAATGGGCTTGGGATGGGAGTGTCTGCTCACTCCTCTGAGACCCACTCAGTCCTGGCCTCTGTCCCCTGAGCACGAGGCCCTGTCTTGTCCCCTCCTCCTGACTCTGCTCGAAAACCAGGATCAGCCCCAGATGGCTTGGAGAACCATGCCAACAAGCTCCAAATACAGAATTACTAGAAATTCTCTGCTTTAAAACAAAGAATTTCCTGATATATTTTCTTGAGGAATATTTTGAAGAATCAGAGAAATATGCAGTCGGAAATTGAAGCTCCCTTTACTCACTCACCTTTACCCACAGACCTACGCAGAATAAGACCACCCTACACTCACCAAACCCCAGGCTCAGTCATGGGTTGTGTCTAAACGTAAAATATGCAGGGTTGGTGCCCAGACCCCAAACAACCCTACCCCCATCATATTACCGTGTCCACCAAGATGGGCTGTTTGCAGGCCTTGGGACCTCAGGAGAACCCTGAAGATCCAGGCTTCCTCTATTTGGCATGTGGAGACCTCAGCAGTCTCTGGAATGGGGGCGTCTCCTTCCCCAGGGACCTCCCAAAGGGGTGCATGTGGTGGAGGGGCCAGTGTAGGCAACCCTCGAGGGAAAGAAAAATTTGGTCAACAGAAGCAGGGTCAGGGACTCCTTGACTGGACCCGTACCATCTCCTCCTGGGGAGGCCCAGAAAATGGTCTCCACTTTCCACGCAGTGTCCGTGGACCAGTGGGGGCTGAAGGGCTCTGATTTCCAAACTGTGACACGTGTGTCCTCTCTCATCCACGAACAGGAGCATCTGGGGAGCCCCAGCCATGCCTGACAGGTGACTGGCCATCCCCACTTTCCCCCACGGCTTGTGGCTGTTCTTGTCTGGAAGTTCAGGGTCATACGACGCCACTGCCGGAATGAAGTGACAAATAGGAACAAAAGAAAATGGTTGCTTGCCTGTTTCCTTGTCCTCTAATTATTCAAGGAAGTGACAAATATTGTCCAGACAACTTACATACATTCCATGGCAATTTTCTCCTATCTTCTAATCTACCCCAGAAGGCTGGGTGCCCAGGAGCCGAAGGTGGGGGTGACACTGGGAGGTGGGAGGGTCAGGCCGACTGGGTGTGGCCATCACAGCTGCGTGGCCCTGGGGGCCGTGTCCCTGTCTAGTCCTCAGAGTTCTGCTCTGTTCATACAGACGCCTATGGCCCTGCTCCTCCCTCCTGGGCCTCCCTCTCACTGCCCCTGCCCTGCCCAAGGCCCCTGTCCTGCAGCCACTCCCTGGGTTCTCTTCTCAGGCCCACACACCTGCAAGGACCTGTTAAACCGAGGGCACTTCCTGAGCGGCTGGTACACCATCTACCTGCCTGACTGCCGGCCCCTGACTGTGCTCTGTGACATGGACATGGACGGAGGGGGCTGGACCGTGAGTGGGGGACTGAGGGGCCCTGGGCAGAGGCGGTCAGCCTGGGAGACCCGGAGTCCAGGCTGCACACCTGGCTGGAGAACACACTCTGGAATTCTCTATTCCCCTGGTCGGGGACAGAGATGATGGGGGAGGTGACCTGTGGGTAAAAGTCTAGGCCGTGGGGGAGGCTGGGAGGGGCCTGGTGCTCTCCTGCTGTGTGCCTTGGGGCTTGTTGCCTCCCCTCTCTGAGCCCCCATTTCCTCCTTCATCCCGTGGGGTCTGTGAGGAGAGCAGGTGGGCGTGTGGGGACCCCAGCCTGCGATGCTCTGCCAACTACAAATGCTGCTCCTCTGGAGGGCGGGTCCCCCGTGCTGTGGGACGTCAGTCTGTCCCCCTGGCTCCTGTCCCCTGGCTCCTCCACAGGTTTTCCAGCGGAGGGTGGACGGCTCCGTGGACTTCTACCGGGACTGGGCCGCGTACAAGCAGGGCTTCGGCAGTCAGCTCGGGGAGTTCTGGCTGGGGAACGACAATATCCACGCCCTGACCGCCCGGGGTAGGGCCGCTGCTAGGGCTTGGGGGTCAGGGGGCCCTGAATGGGGGTGCCCCTGCCCCTTAGGCCTGGGCTGCCTGGAACATAAGCGTCTCTTAGCCCACAGCCTCCCGTCTGCAAGGTTAGGCGAAGCCCCAGCGTGCCTCCCTCACCGCAGCTGTCAGTGCTTGCTTGCCTCACAGGGGATCGGGCCCTGAGCACACTCAGGGTGGCACCGGGACCTCCGAGGGCTGCGTCCCCTGCCGCAGGCTGTGGCGGCATCGGGACAGGAGAGGGTTAGAGCTCTGGGCTGAAGGCCTCTTCAGGTCTTGGCCCCACTGGCATCTCAGAATCTGAGAGTGGGAAGGAAGGACACAGCGGCCCCGTAGTGGAGTTTGGGCCCAACCCCAACTCTGCCTCTAATCTGCTAGGATTTGGGAGTCTAGAGTCTCGCCCTGTTGCTCAGCTCACCCTGCCGGGTCAGAGCTACACAAGCCCTGGGGAAGCTGCGGTGCTCTCCGCCCTCTGCCTCCATGGAGTCCAGAGCTCCTTCCAGGCTCTGCCCCAGATCCCCAGCTCCCATGTCTAAAGGCAGAGGGTCCTTCTGGTGGGACCCTGAAACCCTCCTCTAACAGGAACCAGCGAGCTCCGTGTAGACCTGGTGGACTTTGAGGACAACCACCAGTTTGCTAAGTACAGATCATTCAAGGTGGCCGACGAGAAGGAGAAGTACAATCTGGTCCTGGGGGCCTTTGTGGAGGGCAGTGCGGGTGAGTGTCTGCTTGGGGTTGTGCGGCCTGGGCTTCTGAGGGGGGTTTGGGAAGTGGAGAGAGCGTGCTCAGTGTCCTGACGGCCTTGCGGCCTCACCTCTCTGAGCCGGTTTGTCCGTCTCTACATGCAGACACTAACGTCTGTGCTCTGTGTAGCGTGGGGGTCACGGGACACATCAGTACATGACTCCAGAAACCCCAGCAAGGACATCTGGTAGGAAGGAAGCCTCTGCAGAGCAGGGACCTATGTACACGGACAGCAGCTGATATCTCTGTGGGGCGTGGCTGGAAGGGGTCTGCCATGGTGGAATCCAGAGTAGAGAATGATGATCCCGACCCCTGCCTCCTGTTCTTCTGTGAAATAAAATAGTACACATTCGGTGGCAGGGCTAGACCTAAAGACAAATTGCCAAAACCACTGCCAACAGCAGGATAGTATTCACTGGAGTCACGGATTGCACTTCTTGGATTGTGCAGTGCACAACCTGCTTAACCATACATGGAGGACACACCAGGCCAGGCTTCAGGTATAAAGACTTATACTGCCTATAACGATGTTACTGCCTGTAATGATGCTCACATTTCCTCCTGCACAGGTGATTCCCTGACATCCCACAACAACCACTCCTTCTCCACCAAAGACCAGGACAATGACCTTAACACCGGAAATTGTGCTGTGATGTATCAGGGAGCTTGGTGGTATAGAACCTGCCATGTGTCAAACCTGAATGGTCGCTACCTCAGGGGGGCTCACGACAGCTTTGCAAATGGCATCAACTGGAAGTCGGGGAAAGGATACAATTACAGCTACAAGGTGTCAGAGATGAAGGTGCGACCTGCCTAGCCCAGGCCGGCCTCAGGGTCAGGACGCCTCCACACATAGTTGGTGGGGGGTAGGGTTGGGAGCTTGGCCCTAGGGTTTGTAAAAGAAACACATGTCGTGATTCTAAATTGCGTTTGTCTTGCTGTGCGGAAGAGGTTCAAATCCTGCTCTGTTTCCACAATTGGCCCTTCCAGATTTGTGACATTAACTCATCTCAAACCTCTGTCTTTCCTTGGCAATGAGTAAGAATATGTTTCTGACCATGCCAGCAGGAACCTTCCTTAAGAACAAATATAAGACTTTGACGCTGTGATGGGATCAGAGTGCAGCCCTGCTCGGGTCCCTGGGCAGGCTAAATGCTCGACCATCTGGGTTTCTCTGTGAGCTGGATGGTGGGGAAGTGAGAAGGCGCATTGGAGAGGAGGTTTCTCCTGCACTCAGAGATGCTGTTGCCTGTCCAAGGCCCCCAGCCTCCCAGCCGCAGCTCTGCCCACTCACCCCCATCACCCAGGCTTCCTGTCGCCCGCTCTGTTGGGTATTCGTGGGACCTGCTCGCTACTTCCTCACAAGCCAAAGCAGGAGTGTGCCTGTGACTCCCTTATCAAAACGGAGAGAGCGGTTACATAAGGCAGGTGCGAGGGACCCGAGCACTCCTGAGGCGGGAAGAATCCTCCTTTTGGCCATGAGTGTCCAGCCCAAAGTTGCTCTGCAGCTGAGCCCAGTGCAGTTAGAATCAGGAAGCCAAGGGCCCTTCCACCTGCTTGTCTAGGGCAAGCCGCCTGCAAGAGAGCAAAGTGCATTAGCACAGGAGTTTGTATCTGGTGAGGACGGCACCTGGCCTTCTCCTCTTGCCACCTCCTGGTCCCCCTGAGGACCCATCCCCTGTCCCCAGTCCCCGGCCAGCTCAGCCTGATGAGGCTTTTGGAGGCTCCGCACCCCAGCATCGGCCAGTGCTGACCCTTGTCCGGCTGTTTGGGTCCCTGCTCCCTCTCATAACAGCCCAGCCCCTGTCCTATACCCTCTACTCAGAGAGGATCCAGAAGGGTCCAAGGAGGCCATGATCCCTCCCTGAGCTTTTTAATGTGGGCCCCCTCCTTCCCCTACAAGGGTCCCTCCTGGGTCTTAGCTGGTCTAAGCCCCACGCAAGTCATGGGGAGGGCTGAGCGTCTGGGACTTCTGGGGGATGTGCACCGTTTCCTCTGAGTTCCTGGAGGGTGTGCACCATGAAGATCAGGACGCAGCTCCGGCCTCACCCTCCGTGAGCCATCCCCACCTTCCCTCCTCACTCTGGGTTCAAGGCCTGGGATGAGCCAGGACAGGGGGAAGCAGGGACAGCCCTGGGCATGGCCCTTCCTTCCTGGGCCCGCAGGAGGGGGCCACACCACCCACCCAGGGGGCTGACCCGTCCTCAGGACAGAAACTAGCAAGCTGTCAAACCTGAGGGTTTATAACTAAATGATGGGGTGCTGCCCCAGGAAATTACACCCAGACGTCTCTTTTCTCATAGACCTGGGTCCCTAGCTTTTAGACAGGATGACACATCATTGACAGGTACTGACTTTACATGCATTGCAGCCTCATACTTCAGCCATTCAGTGCTAGGCGGTCTTCTAGGGCAGCAAAGAGCTCAGCCACACACCCTGGGCCACAGTCACGATGAGACCTCCCCTCAGTGCTGTCCACCCCCCATTCTGGGCATTTCAATCTCCAATAGGAGACTGAAATGAGGAAAACATGCACCTCACTCAACTGTAAAGGGAGGAACTGGGAATTCCTCTCAAATCTTGACCCTCGAGTTCTAGAAACGGGGTCCTCTCTGGAATCTATGATGGCATTATTCTGGAAGGCTAAAATAAAGCTATTAAATAAAGAAATATTTTTAGCCTGACAAGCCAGAGATTTTTTAAAATCTTGTTTTTAAAATTTTCTTAATTGAGAGAGGAGCTAAAAAGTAACTTTTTCTAAATATTTAATGTAGCTTTGCTATACTGTATAAATACTCTCAAACTTTGGGGATTTGTTGGGATAAGAAAAAGTACTTGTAAAAATGCAGTCAGTATGTCGGGGACTTGTGTGGTTAACACAGCACAGGGAGGTCATGGAGGCGTGTGTAATTAACCTAATGTCACATAAATGTATTTGCATGACATGTGCATCACATGGGCATATGTGTGTATGCGTGCACCTGCGGGGCCTCTGGGAGGTGTAACTGAGGCAGGCATCAGAAGGGCTCTGTAGGACCAACTGGCACTGGGCGGGTGCCTGGAGCTGCAGGTGCCTGCTTCTCCCATCTCCCGAGAGACCTGGCTCCTGCATGTCACCAGTGCTGCCTCGGGGTGTCTGTCTCCCTCCAGAGCAGGGGGCTGAGCCAGGTTGGGACCTGAGCCAAGGTCAAGAGTGTCCCCAGGGCTGGGCTGTCCCTGTCCCTCTGCTGGGGACCGCCGCCTCCCTTCCTGATTTTCAGAGGTCTCAGGCCTCTGCTGTCCGGAGGACTGGAAGAAGGGACAGCACCTGGCAGTGGGCCTGTGCCCACTAGACCCTAGATTCTTAACTATAACTGTGGTTTCTGTGGTCAGGCTGGGAGTGACACAGGCGTTCGAGCCAGACTCCATCTTGAATAGGGGCTGAGGGAAATGAGGCTGAGACCTGCTGGGCTGCAGTCCTAGGAGGTGAGGCACTCTTAGTCACAAGAGGCTGGCAGGATGGGTATCACAAGATACACGTCATAAAGACCCTGTTGATAAAACAGGATGCAGGAAAAAAGGCGGCCAAATCCTACCAAAACCAAGATGGTGACAAAAGTGACCTTTGGTCGTGCTCACTGCTCACCATATGCTAATTATAATGCATTAGCACGTAGAAAGACACTCCCATGACAGTTTGCAAACATCATGGCAACTTCCAGAACTTACCATGTATAGTCTGAAAAAGGGAGGGACCCTCAGTTCCCTGCCCCTTTCTTGGAAAACTCATGAAAGATCCACCCCTTGTTTAGTATGTAATCAAGAAATAACTATACAAATAGCCAGTTACCAGCCCTCAGAGCTTCTCTGCCTATGGAGTAGCCGTTCTTTTGTTTCTTTACTTCTCTAATAAACTTGCTTTTACTTTATGAACTTGCCCCAAATTCTTTCTTGTGGGAGGTCCAAGAACCCTCTCTTGGGGTCTAGATAAGGATGCTTGTTCCAAAGCTGTGAAGCCTTGCTTTGTCTGGAGTAACTGACATTGAAACCGCCACTGTAAATTATGACTGAGACAATGAAAGAGATCTGACTTAACCAACTCCGTCTTGCTTCTAACCTCCAAGCTGTCCTTGTTCATTCCTAGGCATAGGCTGAACTAACTTTGTGAAGAACTTAGTTTATAGTTTAAAACAAAGATGGTAATAGCCCTTTCTCAAAACCTCCTTCTTGCCTGGGGACTAGACTGCTTTTGTAGGACTAACAAATTAGCCACAAGATTAGAAATTATGGTTTAGGCATCATGCAGCTGGAGGCTACAAGATTCTGATCCTCCCTAAACTGTTCCAAAAGTCAGTACTTGAGGTATTTTGCAGACCCTGCAGTTGATGGCTCAGCTGGCACCACCCAGATTGATAAACTGGCTCATTTGATCTTGTGGCACCACCCAGGATCTGACTCAGTGCAAGAAGACAGTGGGGACTCCCTATGATTTCATCTCTGACCAATCAGCACACTCGGCTCACTGGCTTCCCTCTAACCCTGACCAATCAGCACTCCTGGCTCATTGGCTTCTCCCTAATCCTGACCAATCAGCACTCCTGGCTCATTGGCTTCCCCCCAACCCTGACCAATCAGCACTCCTGGCTCATTGGCTTTCTCCCCACCTACCAAGTAGTCCTTAAAAACTCCGATCCCTGAATGCTAGGGGAGACTGATTTGGTAATAATGAAACTCTAGTCCGGTATCCTGCATGGCCGCTCTTCATGAATTACTCTTTCTCTATTCCAATTCCCCTGCCTTGATAAATTGGCTCTGTCTGGGCAGCAAGCAAGGCCAACCCATTGGGTGGTTGCAACATCAGGAAGGCCCCCGTCCTTAGGATGAGAAAGGAACCCGCCCTGCAGGGCTGGAACCCGATGTATCAGGAAGGTGAAGGGGCATACCCAGAAAGCTTCTCTACAGGAGAGAGGGCCATTTAACAAATCCAGGCCCAGGGCAGTCCTCCACCTCCGAGGACTCTCTCCATGAAGATGTGATGCCCTCTGGGAATGGGAGCACACCCTGACCCTTCCCTGGGATCCTCATTCTCCATGCTGCCCCTGCTACACCTGCTCCAGACCTCACTGTCACTCACCTTCACCTCTCCAGAATCTGTGGTTTCTGGTTTTGTCTTCCCCGTGCTCTGCCTCCTGTGAAACTTAGGACTCTTCCATCCTGCACCCAGAGACTTTCAGCCCTCCGGCAATGGATTTGCTGCAGCCTGATCCCCACCTCACTTCCTGTCCAGTCTTCAGGAGGAACCGACCCAAGTCTGGGGCTCTGTGAGGCCTCCTAGCCTTGGTGCTGGTGGCTCTGCCTGGTGCCCTTTGGTCCCTGGTCCTGTTCAGCTGCTGGTACATGTTTACAGAGACATTGGCCACACGGCATTATGTGTGGTTTGTGCTCCCAGGCAGGGTGTCAGAGTAGAACTTGCCTCATTCAAAAGCAAAGTCTCTTCATTTCAGCTGGTGAAGTGCGTGGCATTTTGCCCTCAGAGACCTGGGCTGTGGGGCCTTGATCAGTGACCTGACCTCTCTGAATCTTCCTTGTCGCGTGGAGACATGGGACGACAGGGTGGATTTGAAGGACCTGGGGAGTAAGAAGAATGTGCTCCCACACCGGGTTTGCAATGTGCACAGCATCACCCACCTGGCCCAGCTGCCAGTCCTCCTCCTACGGGACTACCTGCCCAGCTGACGCCCTTGCCCGTGAGGCCTCCCCTGGACGCTGGAGCCCTTGGCTATAGGTCTCTGTTGTGGGCTCCAGCCCTGCCTGGCCTGCCCCCAACACCTGCTGTCACCTGCCTGTCTCCTTGGGCTGAGTCCAGGCTGTTCTGTTGAGGGTGTTGCGAGCTGTGCCCTGGCATAGGAGTGGCGGGCAGGGATTGACTCTGTTGTGTATCCAGACCTGGGAGAGGAGGACGGAGCCACCTGATGTGGGCCGGGCTCCAGCAAAGGCCTCCCTCCCTGCTGCCCACACGAGCCAGGGCGGGCTCCCTGAGGTCAGCGCAGAGGCCAGGCTGCCTGCCTTTATTGCCTTCAGAATCTGCTTGAGGGAGAACTGGCTCTCTTCTTCTCTCTTTCCTGGCCTGAGGGACACTGTCTCCCTCCAATAAGCTGATTGTTGGGAGCTGTGACTGACAGGCACCCAAACCCTGAAACCAGGTGGTTCTTGCCTCCATCGACCCAAACCCCCATGTCCCCTGCCCTTTCCCTTCCCTTCACCATGGGTTTCTGAGTTCTTCCAATGCCTCCATGCCTTAAGTGCAATTTATAAAAAAAAGAACCGGGAAAGGGCCGTCTTGTGGATTCCAGGAAAGGGCCGTCTTGTGGATTCCAGGCTCAGCTGGCTCTAGGCAGAGCATGATGTTGCTCACCAAAGGTGGGATGTGATTTTAGGCTGCATTCACAAAGGCCTGACATCTAGAACAAGGAAGATGCCATACTCGCCTCTGCATAGATCACTCCACACCTGTGCCCTGGGTTCTGAGTTTTGCACTTTACAGGAACCTAGATGGAAACACTGCTGGGGAACGAGAATGGAGAGCTGGAAACAGCATTCTGGGAAGTGGCCAAAGGCAAGTGGGGAGTAACAGGCAGAAAACATGGCCTGCTACAGAGTATGAACTGTGCGTTTTGGGAGGTGACCCCACACTAGGAGGGCATCGCTGTTCCAGGCTCCTGGGCACTGAGGGCCCCTCCCATCTCTTTGTCCCCAGCCTCTCTGGGTGTCTGTTCTTGTCCATTTATTCCTCTGTGTCCTAGGCTTCTTTCCTCTCGCAGTAGCCTGTAGTCACAAAGAGTGGGGTGGCCAACTTGTCCCAGTGAGCCTGGGCCTGCCCAGTTCTGGCACTGAACATCCCATCTCCTGGAAAAGCCCCAGCCACCAGGATGGTCGGTTGTCCTAACAGGAGTCTCAGTGACCCCAGTCAGATGCAACAGGTGAAAAATCCCCAAAACCCTGGATGCCCTATCCTCAAGATCAGGGAAGACACAGAGTTCAGGACACCTGCCTGACTGACCTTCACCTTCTCTTTTCTTCACCAGAATGACACTAATCACTTAGTGAAGAAAGCCTGTAGTCCCAGCTACTCGGGAGGCTGAGGCAGGAGAATGGCGTAAACCCGGGAGGCGGAGCTTGCAGTGAGCTGAGATCCGGCCACTGCACTCCAGCCCAGGCGACAGAGCAAGACTCCGTCTCAAAAAAAAAAAAAAAAAAAAAAGACTAAGCCAAGCCCTTCTCCTGCTACCCCCATGGAACATCTGCTAGGTGCCCAGCCCTGTCTGGAGTACAGGGCAGTGAATTCCTGCTCTGAAGGAGCTCACCAGGAGCTCCTGCTCACCAGGAGCATGAGGCCTTTTCCAATAGCATCAGACAAACGGCCTAAATGGAAGACTCAAAGCAGTGACTCCAGTGAGTCCTGTCCTGTTTCTTTCTTCCAGGCTCAGCCTGAAGTTCTCCTGAATCCTTAGAGGAGCCAGAACTTCCCAGTTACTTTCTCACTGCCTGTCTGACCTGAGAGAGAGAGAGTTAGGAGGCAGGACGTGACTCTGGAGGCAGGGACTTGGACACTGGATCAGATTGAGGACCAGCTAAAACAGGACCCAGGTGAAAGCAGCTTTCCGTAAGACACACCCACCAGGGTGCCATGTCAGTTTACCATTGC